GATGAAACAATCTCACTTCTTGGTAAAAAAAAAAAGTCAAGAACAATCAAGGGTATCAAAAGTATAAAATCAAGGGTGTAAAGTCAAGAGTGTTGTCTTATAATCTCAATAGTCATGAGGCTAAGGCAGGAGGATTGTCAAGAGTTCAAGATCAGCCTGGACAATACAGGACTATACAGGAAGGAATATTACTCTGTTTTAAAGAAAGGTAAACTCGTCCTACGCTGAAACAGCGATGAACCTTGGGGGCATTATGTTAAGTAAAATAAGCTAGTGGATAAACAAACAAACAAATAAATATTGTTTGATTGTACTTACAAAATCTGCCGAAAGAAATTCAAACTTGTGGAAATGGAAAGTAGAATTTGACTAAAAGGAATGGGTGGTGAAAAGGGAAAGGGAAGCCATTATTCCTGGATACAGACTTTTAGTTTTGAAAGATGTGAAAAATGAGCAAGTTCTGGAGTATTTCATTTGTTATTACTCTATACACTTAAAATAGCCAAGAGAAAGCTAGGCACCACTGTGTTTAACAACTTTAGTTCTTGCACTTGGGAGTCTGAGGCAAGAGGACTATGAGTTTGAAGTCACACAAAGACCTTGTCTCAAAACAAACCTAAATTAAAAATGGTTAAGATAACAAATTTTATGTAGGAGGTTTTCACTCAGATTTTTAAAAACGGTCTTGGTAGCTACTCAAGAGACTTTTCTGGCTTATAAATGGTCATGTTAGGTAAGACTATATGATAAGAAATAGGCACTCCCCAGAAACTCTAGGCAGCCTGTAGCCAGACACCTAATAGCCAGCAATAAGTCAAGGCCTACAATCAAGAAATGAATACTGTTGGGCACAGAGAGATGGTGTAGCATTTAATATATAGTACTTGTTGCTCTTGCAAAAAACCTGAGTTCTGTTCCCAGAACCCACATCAAGCAGGTCACAACCACCTGTAACTCTTAACTCTGGGGCAATGGTTCCCAAACTTCCTAATGCTTTTACCCTTTAATAAAGTTCCTAATGTTGTGGTGGCCCCCAAACCATAAAATTATTTCATTGCTACTTCATAAGCGTGAATATCACATATGCTAGTCCAAGGGGGTCACGACCCACAGATTGAGAAACCCTACTCTAGGTTAACTAATGACCTCTTCTCGCTTTCTCTGGCACCTGCACTTACATTCACACACACACACACACACACACACACACACACACACGCAAGTATTGCATACATATGCACATACATACATATATACAGGGATACATCTAATTACAAAATAAATCTGTTTAATACAGAGATGATGCAGGGCAGTGGTGGTGCATGCCTTTAATCAGAGCATTTGTGAGGCAGAGGAAGAGGCAGAGGTAGGAGGATCTCTGTGAGTTGGAGGCCAGCGTGGTATACAGAGTGAATTACAGGGTAGCCAGGCCTACAGAGAGAAACCCCATCTCAAAAAAGCGGGGGGGGGGGAAGCAAGAAATAATGAATACTGTCAAGGTTAGTAATTTTAGTGAACTTGGAGTTGTTCTATCTAGGAATGCAGCTGCCTGGACTGTTGACCTGTACATTCTACAATAATAAATATGTGTTATTTTAAACAACTGAGTGTGTGGGGACTTTCTGTGCGGTAACTTTCTATGTGGCAACTGATAAACAATACAAAAGGGATGGCATAGGACAATCTGTTTTCAAATGTTTCAAATGACTTCTGGTGGCATGATCTACATGAAATATGATAAAAATCTTTGGGGCACTGAACTTTGTGGAACCTTGAAACAAGGCAAAGAAAAAAACCACTACTTTGGCTATTTTGCTTCCATTCACTCTCCTCATCTGTCCATCTCAGTGATAGGAATTCCCTTTCTCATTAAGAGTCAAATCCGGTATAGTAAACTACAAACACAACTCTATAAATAAACTGTACACCTTTAGGACTGGTTATAACACTTGGTGACCTTTATAATCTCCAAGTATCTCAGATAAGATTCAACAAGTTGAAATGTTGACTCATTAACCAAATAAAGGTTTGTCAAAAGCCAAGTTCAATCATGATTCTAAAACACTAAGCAACATAAATAATAGAAAAATAGCTCTAGTTTTGCTTCTTTGGGAAGTTATTCTTGGTGTTGAGTCACATAAGTCGAATGTATTGCTATCAGTAAATAAGTGACAAACTCCTGTAAGTGTTCTAGCATTCTAAACAGAAGCAAAAAAGGGAAGGGCCTGGCCATCCATGTCAGGAAAGACACCACTAGCAGGAACTCAGGTAGAATGGGTGCTATTTTTAAAGCTCTTTATAAAAAAAAATATTGCATAAGCTCTCATAGTGACTCACTAACGCATTGAGTCATGAGAGAGTGGGAGGGGTAACAGAAAATGCTTTTCTGCTTTCATTTCTACATACAGGATATTACTCGTTAATACAGGCAAAGTCACTTACTAAATATTAGGAGTGGCCATGTGGTACTAGTCCAACCCCTCACTGTACAGACCGGATGCTGAAGACCATCTGATGCTTTGACTCATTTCAAAAAAAAAAAAAAAAACTCTTGTGACTGATTATGGAATCCAGGCAAAGCAATAGAAGCAGAGTACTCAACAGGATCTGTCCAGGAAAGTCTATAGTAAAAGAAAGGTCATTCCCCAGAGACATGAATACTGACTTGTTCCAATGGGCATGACCAGGAGTGGGCAAACTCAACTGTTCCCAAATATTTTTGATCTCTGGACATCTACAATTTAGTGTATTCAGGTTTTCTTATCTTTAAAAATGATAGAAAACACAACCCAGAGCCACACTCCCTGTAATCATTGGAGTAATGATATTGTGACATGTTCAGTAAGTTTAGGATATTTCAAAATAAAAAAGTTAAAGGAAACACAAGAAGCACATGGACAGTAGCTTCCAACAGCAAAGAAAGCCAGGAGATGGTCATATATCAGTGTGTGGAAAGAAAAGTTCCAAACCTCAAAATCTATAAGCAGTGAAATAAAACCTTCAATAATGTAAGATGACATACCTCATTAAAGGGAATTATCAAGTATTTCTTCCCTTCAGAAGGAAAGTCCACAGGGAAGAACAGAGGTTTAAGAAGAAAATGGGGGATGGGGAGTAAATATTGCCAGGTGGTGGGAGACAGAAGCAGGAGGATCTCTGAGTTCCAGCCAGCCTGGTATACAGAGTTCCAAGACAGATGAGGCTACTCCGAGAAACCTTGTTTTGAAAAATAAATACAAGAAAGAAAGAAAGAAAGAAAGAAAGAAAGAAAGAAAGAAAGAAAGAAAGAAAGGAAGGAAGGAAGGAAGGAAGGAAGGAAGGAAACATTTTAAATCCCATTGGAAACCTGGTTCTCAACCTTCCTAATACTGCAACCATTTAATACAGTTTCTCATGTTGAGGTGACCCTCAACCATAAAACTATTTCTTTTCTACTTTATAACTGTAATTTTGCTGCTGTTGTATTATTATGAATCATAATGTAATTATCTGATATACAGGCTATCTGATATGGGACCCCAAAAGAGTTGTGATCCCCTAGGTTGAGAACCACCTCAACCTGGAAATTAGAAGGAAAGCAATCGAGGAATCCTAAAAACTGACCTTAGAAAATACCAGGCGAGCAGACTGTGGTGAATGTGGTTAATCATTTAAGCACTGGGCAGACTGGGGTAGCAGATCTATGTGATTTGTGAATTCTAGGACAGCCTGTTGAAACATAGTGATTTCCAGGATAGCCAAGACTACATAGAGAGACCCTGTCTCAAAATCAAAACAAGATTCAAACCCACACCTTTCTTTAGTCATGAAAACGATGACATCACCACATCACAATGAACTGCCTGTGGAAAATTACTAGAGAGAAAAGGAAAATTATGCCTCCAGACCACGCTTTGAGAATGGCTGCTCTTATCTTTCTGTCATACCCTAAAGCTGAGTTTCCTGAGTTTGCTTTTCTCAGCAATGTCGGGGTCACAGAGGCAATCCACATTTTCTATTTTACGACGGTTACCAGGGGACAAGCTGGCATTCATTTGCTTCCAGGAAAGGGAACGCAAGGCGCCGCTAGAGGACGCAAGGCTGGAGAGCACAGCTGCGCACCTCGCCCTACCCCGCCCTCTGGGTTTGCGTCAGAGGTGTCACGAGAGAGCCCGGAAGAGGGCAGTGTCTGGAACAGAAGGCGGTGCTCCCGCAGACTTGCATCCTTACTGGTCGCGATCTCTCCGTCTCCCGGTCAGGGGAGGGGTTTCTGCGGACTTAAAAGGCACGGTCTTTCCACTTGTTAGCTGCGCAGTTTCCTCAAAGTAAGTCTGCCAGTTTTCTGTCTTATACTGAGGTTCGCCGGGTCATGGTGCCAGCCTGACTGAGAAGAGGACGCTCCCGGGAAACGAATGAGGAACCACCTCCTCCTGCTGTTCAAGTACAGGGGCCTGGTGCGCAAAGGGAAGAAAAGCAAAAGACGAAAATGGCTAAGTTTAAGATCCGTCCAGCCACTGCCTCTGACTGCAGTGACATCCTGCGACTGATCAAGGTACAGAAAAGTCCAGGCTCTCCCTAGGGCAGAGGTTAGGGGAGGCTCTGTTTCCCGGGGAAATCCTCATCTTCAGTTCTGAGATGCGGCCAAGCCAGTAAATTCCCCTTTCTCTGCCTGCCAACCCCAGCCCGGGTCAGGCTCCGCAGTTCGACGCCAGGCAGGGTTCAGTCACCGCTGGACCCCGCCTGCCCCATTTCCCCTCCTGTGAGCTGGCTAGGCTAGCCAGGAGTTTCATTGCCCTTTCTTTTGTATGTATCGTCCCCAGGAACTGGCTAAATATGAATACATGGAAGATCAAGTAATTTTAACTGAGAAAGGTAACAAAGGCGTGGCGGGAGAGGAGGGAGGGGGGACAAGGTATCTGTTTCCTGGCACCTCCAAGGTGGGGGGAGAGGAGGACAAGGTATCTGTTTCCTGGCACCTCCTAAAGTCAACTCATACTGTTTCTCACTCCCCTGTCTTACAGATCTCCTAGAGGATGGTTTTGGAGAGCACCCCTTCTACCACTGCCTGGTTGCAGAAGTGCCTAAAGAGCACTGGACCCCTGAAGGTAACCCCTACTCCCTGTCCAGAAGCCAGCGAGAACTAGTGTTGTAATCGAAACCATAGAGCGTACTGTGCAGAACCCATGACTACACGGGCAGAGGTTACTGAGGAGCTGGCTGGAACTAACAGCCAGCCAGTGCGCAAATGACTGAGGAAAAAAAAATGTATGTAGTGTACTTTATAATAGGGCGGGTTATGAGAGCTATTTAAACAAATATCAGAGCGCTGTAGAAACCCGGAAAAGTTAGGTATAATGTCATTTGTTGTAATTCCGTTTCATGAAATGGTTTTTATTTGACCCTAACCTAACCTTTTTTTTTGTAATTGTGTTAAATCACATTTTTTTTCTTTAATTTGTCCCAATCTTCAGGTTACAGTCTCTAGCTTCGCCATGTACATGGCCCTTCTGTGTACATGGATGGGCGGGGAGGTAACTAAAAGATCCTTTACTCAATAAAGTAGATGATCATGATAAATGAGGTAAGGTCCTATTATCGCACACTTAAAACCACGGTAGATCAGAAATTTATATTCGCTTCCTGTCTGTCTGCAAAGAAATAGAACCATTGCCTCTAATTTGCAACCTTTGCCTCCATTTGGAATTGAATTGACACTCCTTATGAAGGAGTCAGTTTTTAATTATTTTTATTTATGTATTTACTTTTTTTGCTGGCCCTGGTCAGAAGACGGCTAAAAGGGGAAGTTGTTTGGGTGGGTGCTTTCTTGAGTTTTCTTCTGATGTCTGTTCCTTAGGCTAGAAGATAATCAGAACACGTAAGGGATGAGCTAAGCTTTAGAAGTGTGTGAGTGTTATGTAACACCTGTTTCTGGTTACTACTATTCCTCCTGTGTTAAAGATTGGGGGAAGTAAATTGAAAATTTATACGTGGGAGGGCAAGTTCTGAAAGTAAACATTACACTTTTGGCCTGATATTCTGACCTTAAGGAGTTGGTAAACTACAAGTATTTCCTCTTCTAAACTGCTGTGTAAACCCAACTTTTGCCAAGACAACATACCAGCATGTCATTAGGACGTGAATAATATGTGTGTTTAGTTTAAGTCCATGGCCCTCCGGCAAGTAATGAAAGTGTTCTCATTTCCTGAGTATGAGGCCAGCAGACTAGCCAGTCCACCAGTGTAGCCTAGCTTCGGCTATCTCTAATGTGTGCTTTTTGCAAGTATGTGTCTGAGACCAGAGAGATCATTTGGCATTGGTCTGGACTGTACTAGCATAAACATAAGGAGGCAGTCCAGTTCCTGGTTACTTGTTTCAGTGCTGCGCGCATGTATATTTCCTTAAAATCTACAATAGGCTTCTGATTCTGCCGGTACAGCTTGAATGGGTTGTTTTTCTTCTTTATATCTCATGGGATACTCTTATTACAGGACACAGCATTGTTGGTTTCGCCATGTACTATTTCACCTATGACCCATGGATTGGCAAGTTACTGTATCTTGAAGACTTCTTTGTGATGAGTGATTACAGAGGTACAATTGACTTTGGGATTGGAGGTAGTTTAAAGAGAAATCAGAGCTCTATGGCCTTAAAATGACTAAGTTGAATTGTAATTCTTTGTTTTAGGCTTTGGTATAGGATCAGAAATTTTGAAGAATCTAAGCCAGGTATGTTGACCAGCATTTCATTGCATAGCCCAGCCTGGCCTGGTATTCCCTATCAGCCCTGGCTGGCCTCAAGCTTGTCTTTACCTTCCTGGTGCTAGGATTAGAGCTGGGACCAGATGTCCTAGATTTGGGCTTCTGCATTTGTAAGAGTTATTGGGTTATTGTAATGCATGAGTCAAAGTTGGGTCTTGGCAAGAGGGTGAAATGTTACTGGGCTTATATTCTCCCTGGCTTGTACTAGGTTGCCATGAAGTGTCGCTGCAGCAGTATGCACTTCTTGGTAGCAGAATGGAATGAACCATCTATCAACTTCTACAAAAGAAGAGGTGCTTCAGATCTGTCCAGTGAAGAGGGATGGAGACTCTTCAAGATTGACAAAGAGTACTTGCTAAAAATGGCAGCAGAGGAGTGAGACGTGCCGGGGTAGACAATGACAACCTCCATTGTGCTTTAGAATAAATTCTCAACTTCCCCTTGCTTTCTATCTTGTTTGTAGTGAAATAATAGAGTGAGCACCCATTCCAAAGCTTTATTACCAGTGGCGTTGTTGCATGTTTGAAATTCGATCTGTTTAAAATGGAAGTCATGTATGTGGTTTGGAGGCAGAATTGTTGAACATCTTTTGATGAAGAACAAAGTGGTATGATCTTACTATATAAGAAAAACAAAACTTCATTCTTGTGAGTCATTTAAATGTGTACAATGTACACACTGGTACTTAGAGTTTCTGTTTTGATTCTTTTTTAAAAAAATAAACTACTCTTTGATTTAAATATTCAGCGTGAGCATTTTTACTAGTCCTGTCTTCCTCATTATTTTTGCAACCAAAATAATATGTAAAATAAAATACCTATCCAACAGTTCGCAGGTGCTGGTAAACATGAATAAGAGAGGCTGCCTGGTGTTTAGAATACCCTAGGTTTCATCCGTAGCACTGAAGGGGGTGGGGGATGACTTGGGAAGGAAAGAAATGAAATGGAGTGGTGCACACAATGAATCAGTCCATTGTTGTACAAGTAAAATGTGAAGGTGGGTTTATGAAACACTAATAATCAGGAAAAACATCTTGTCCCCAATGACCTCATCCCACACAAAATGCCCTTTAAAAGTAAAACTAACTGGGTCATTCTGCTAATCAAGAGGGAGCAAAACTGATTTTTAACAAGATTGCAACTTTAAAAAGTGACACACAAGCAACTTTGTCACAAGCACATCAAATAACTTCGCATGTATGTGTTAAACTAATGTCTTTCTACAGTAAGGACACAATAGGAGTCTTTCAACCAGGGAGACATAAGCAAATACTTTTCTCAGGAACTGAAAATGAGCCCTTAAAAAGCAAAGGGAAAAGACAATTTTCTTAGGTCTATGAACTTTAATTACTCATTACATTGTCCTACATTCCCAAACCCACTAATTTGCACCATCATAAAGATGATAGTTGTTAAAAATTCCTGAAAACTACTGTCCAAGATTAGTGTTTTCCAAAAGCAGTTCTAGGATACCTACACAATAGCAGGAAATACTGAACTCTTCCACTTAAACAGCCTTGATTCTGTGTTCCTTTGGCTCAGTTTCTGCTGCACAGTTCTAGATTAGAAGGCAGCTATACATAAAAGTGTGATTATGCATTTCTTTTGAGTTTTGAGGTTTATTGGTGGTTCAATATGACATGAAAATAGGCATATAGAGTTAGATCTCAACCAGGGTCCGGCTCAGATGGCAAGTAATGGAATTGCTGGCAAAAATCAAAGGCTAACGGAACACAAAGAGCCTTGTGAAGAAGGAAGAATTTTTGAAGGTTGTGTTCTGGAAACTGGGCCTCTTAGAGGAAAACAACTGCTTGCTGACTGTGGCTAGATGAATAAATTAGCCCAGGGAGTAACAATTTAACCTTTTGTGTTTACACCTTAAAGACACAGTGTTGCAAAACCAGAAGTTTTGAAGTTTTTGTCCATCCTTTACAGGTGACCCTTAAAAGAAATTCAGACCCCACATCAGCCCACTTAATATTTAACTCAATTACAGTGATATCTCTTTGCAAGGAGCTACAGAGCCAGGCATACTAATGCACAGCTCAAGGGGATGAGGCAAGGGCTCAGGTTTGAGACCAGTCTGGCCTACAACAAGGAGACTCCTGTCAAAAGGAAATAAAACATTTCAAACAACAATAACAACAAAACCCACTTTGGAACAGGAACACATGCCTATAGTCTCAAGTGCTTGACAGGCTGAGGCAGGAGGATCACTTTATTCTCATGAGTTTCAGACCAACCTGGGCAGCACAGTGAACACTGTCTCAAAACAAACAAACAAACAAACAAACAAAAATTTATTTGGCACAGATGGTGGTGCACGCCTTTAATCCCAGTACTTGGGAGTCACTGGCAGGTGTATTTCTGAGTTCCAGGACAGTGTGGCCTACAGAGTGAGTTTCAGGACAGCCAGGGTTACACAGAGAAACCCTGTCTCAAAAAAAAAAAAAAAAAACCAACTTCCCTGCCTAAAAAAGGAATAAATTTATATTTGTAAGACTTAAAGTCAATACACGGATCAAAAAAAAAGGTAGAAGAAAGTTATCTACAAGGAAACAGCAAGCAATTATAAACCTAAAATAAAAGAAAAAATGAGTCTGTGTAAGCAATAATCTTGTAAAGATAACTTTTACACTGGGCCTAGAACCCATGACTCACTGGAGAGACTGAGAAGACTGAGACAGGAGTTCAAAGCCAGCTTGGGCTACAATGTGAGACCTTTTGTTTAAAAAGAGAAAAACAAAAAGTGTAGCGGTGCATACTTGTAAGTGCTGAGCCTACTTCCTTTTCTTAGCCCAATGTAACTATTCTTGTCAATATCCTTTAAGTGGCAACAAGAGCTCTCCACAATTTTTTTGCTTTTTTATTGGTTATTTTATTTATTTACATTTCAACTGTTATCCCCTTTCCTGGTTTCCTCTATGCAAACCCCCTATCCCATCCCCCTCCCCCTGCTTCTATGAGGGTGATCCCCCACGATCCCACCCACTATCACCTCACCACCATAGCTTTCCCCTACACTGGAGCATAGTTCCTTCACAGGACCAAGGGCCTCCCCCCCACCACCATTGATACCAGATAAGGCCATCCTCTGCTACATATGCAGCTGGAGACATGTGTCCTCGTTGGTTGGTGGTTTAATCCCTGGGAGCTTTGGGGGGTCTGGTTGGTTGATACTGTTGTATTTCTTATGTGATTGCAAACCCCTTGATACAGGGACTCCCGATACAATCCTGGCTAGCCTTGATCTTGTGATTCCCCCTTGTCTCGGTCTCCTAAGTACTAGGATTGCAAGCTTGCCCTCCCCCCCCCTCCCCGGAGTACTCAGTTTAACACTTCATGCATTATTATTCAATTTAATTGTCACATATTCTCTCTTTGGTATGTACTATTATTAGTTCCTTCTTTGTCATTTGAGACTGTCTTCTTGTCAACTTTTAAGAGTTGGCTCTTTCTTTCCACACTATGGGTCCCAGCAGCTGAACTCAGGTCACCAGAGTTGATGGCTCCTGTGTCACTGTCCCTAATTTACTGATATTTTAATGTGTATTTCAAAGTGAAGATATAACTGAGACTCACCAATCTGGGTAATCAGCTTGGGCCTGGATCCAACTTAAAATGGAAACTCTTTTAGCTCATCTTCACATTGACCGTCTCAGGACCACAAAGTTAACAGGAAGCTGTCTCCAAGGAAAGAATGAGTGAATCATAACACACTTTGTGAAGGAGAACCTTCTCAAGCATTTTTGAGAAGGATACTTGGGAAAGCTGGGACATGTCAATTCTCCAAAGGGCAGGGAACCCTCAGAACACCTCCCTAGGCAGTCAGTACTTGCTCCTTGATAAATAACAACCTTATTTTCATTAAAATATCTTTCCTCTCTTTAAATTAATGCTGTTCGCTTGAATTTTATGCACTCAGTAGTTCTGTTTATCTTGAATATATAATCATACATTGGTTTGGGAACTGGAACTGCACAACAGTTTGGCAGCTTTTTCAGAGGACCTGAGTTCAGTAATCACGTTGAATAGTTCACAACTAACTGTCATCTAATGTTGGGGGTCCTGACACCTTCTTCTGGCCTTCTTGAACACATGCACACACATAGCACATACACACAGAAACACACACACGCACAAAATCTTTAAATGTATATTGTTTTTTTTAACCTGTCTGGAGTGGTATATAAAATGCTCACATCTACTTGCATGCTTATAGTCATATAATAAAAATAATTCTAATTACTACTAAGGGTTTGTGGGAATTACAGTTCCTGTAAAGGGACTCATGTAACTCAAGTTTGAGAAACAGCATTATAAGTGAGCATTTTGCAAAAGTATCCGCTCTAATAATTTATGGGAAGGATCAGGGGGGCAAAGAGGTAGCTCACTGATCAAATGAATGCTTGTAATGCAAGGGCCCCCAGTTTTTGTTTTTAGCAAAAACAGGAAAGGGAAAAGATAAGATTCCATCAGATCCAGGTTTAACTTTTGTGTGTTTGTGTGTGGTCAAGAGACATTGATTGGTGACATTTTTCTAGCAAGAGGATAATGAGGTTGACATCTCTTTCTGAGCTCATAGAGGGCTTAGTGACTATCAACACGTAGCAAATGATTCATTAGAGGTTTGCAAAATAGTGATAATCTTATTGCAGTCATTCCTCATCCTGTGTGTGTGTGTGTGTGTGTGTGTGTGTGTGTGTGTGTATACTCTGAGGTACAGCTTGCTCAGAACAAATGCTTACTTCTTTCCTTTTATTTACTAATTTTCAAAAGAGTGACTGCATTCCCCAGCATCTTCCAACTAAACACTTTTCTTTTTCATAGTCTTACAGTGTCCTTTGTTTTAATTAATGGTTATTATTTTTCTTATCTAAGCTTAGATTTCGCTAAACACTCAGTGAAAACTTCTTCAAGTTGGTTCCAGAGTCTGTTGGAAGTGACCTCAGGAACTGTTGGGAACTTCCTGCTGTTAAGTTGTCCCAGGCTCAAGGAGTACATTTCCTTCCTCAGACTTGACATCAATGGCTTGCTCATTTCAAGTTTCAGAGGTTCCCAAGGGAAAAGAATGTTTATTGAAAGCAGGTGGTGTTCACAGCTCTCTGTTTTGATTAAGGCAGAGGCTCAGCAGGGAGATTTTAAACAGAGGCTCTGAGTGAGTGGGGGTATTCACTCCAGGATTGCTGACTAAGGGTTCCATCAACAGCACTGCTTTCTTTCATTCAGCAAATCCAGAATAAAAATAGTTTCAAGACAGCTAAATCAGCGAGTGTATGGACATATGCCTATCATGCTCTGGAAGCTATAGTAAGAAGATCTGTAGTTAAAGGCCAGCCGAGGTTACATTGAAAGACTCCACTGCAACAAACAGAAACATCAGAAACAAATATAAAAGGCAGCTAAATTATTGTACAACAACAGTACTTTTTGCTGGCAGAGACACATAGTCCAGAAGTCTCTTGGATCTGGTGACATTTGACTTTGAGTCAAACAAATTTAAACTAAATCCTGGCTCTTATTGGTAATAAAACTAAACTTCATGAACTGGTGAGATGGCTCCAGGTGTTAAGGCACTTGCCATACAGCCTGACAACCTGGGTTGTATCCCTGGGACCCCATACCGTGTTAGGAGAGAATCAACTCCCACAAGTTGTCTTCTCCTATGCACATGTGTGCACATGCGCGCGCACACACACACACACACACACACACACACACGTAAATGTAATTTTAAAAAA